AACTGTCGTGTTGTAACGGCAGGCTGGTGAAGAGTCATTACTACATTGATATACCATTTTCTTAGTAACTGTCGCAATTTTTGGCTCAGTTCCCAAGAGGACAGACATCTCGAATCTTGATAGTCCTGCCGATTGATAAATTTAAAAATAATATCCCAGTTGGCATATATGCTGTTTATGACTAGTATATTTCTTTATACATGTTATCTGGGGTACCCGTTAATAAGGCAAATCCTAGTCACTATGTTTTTAACTCGTGGTCGCAGCACTTCATGCTCGTTAGTCTTAAGCTTACGAGAACGAAATTCCACCGTAATTCCGATCTTCAAGCTTTAGATGTGATTTATTTCTGAATATTCTCCTCTTGAGTGTCTCGTTAGAGTGTATCACCTCATTATCTAGGACAGCTAATCGTTCATCCTTCTTCACTTCTATTGTAAATTAAATTTTTCCATTAAGTTGATTCCCAAAGCTGATAAATTCATTAAATTTCCTTTACCAAGCAACCAATGTGCAAGGTGCCCATCCAGGTATCATGAATACTAAGTATCCTGACAAAGTCTATTTATCTAGGTCTCCCTGACAATAAAACCAAGCTGCAAATACACGGTCAAACTTCTATACAACGAAATGAGACCGCGAGCATACTAAAAGCCACAAAATCTTCATCAAATCTCGCAATACTACTAACTATTCGATTATTACAAGTTATGTTAGTTTAGTCTTCTTAAAAGGCATGGCCTATAGTTAATTAAAAAAGAATGATTTTTATAAGCATGAATAAAAACTAGGCTTCAAAGAACTCCTTAGTTATGTATTGTGACACAATTTTCTGTTTCGAAAGAAGAAATTTGTCAATTGGCCTCAACGGAAACCAAAGGAGGATTGCCGCATAAATAACCCAAAGTATCTTAAAATGAAAGTTTAGGGAGAACTGTCGCAATATCAAAAGGGAAAAATATGATATAGTTGAAGATAATTCGACTGCTCCATATTCAATTGAATCAAATTTTCAGATGACTAATCAGGGCTGTTCAAACTGAGTCAACGAGGCATAAGTGATAAACAATGCGTACATGTTGGATGGGAATTTTTTTGTGGGCAACCGAAAAGGAGACAAAACGATTATATAACATGGCAGCCAACCAAGAGAAGTCGAAACAGCTTGTGCAAATTATGGATATGAGGCATGACCAGCGTCTGAAAAAAAGAGCTTGTTACAGCAATGATTAAGTCAAGAGAAGGCTTAATTTTTGCGTTGAGGCTTAACTCGCCAGACTGGACTGCAACAGCAAACTTTATCCCGTTGGCTCGTGAGTGCCCCCAGCTGGAGTCGAACCTCAGACTAAAGGATTACGAGGCAAACACGCCCAAGACGGCCGTTAAGGTCGGGAATCAAAATCGCTACATGGCATTGTAATGCATGAAAATATAAAATACATTTCGAGATAATTCTTGCCTGTAGTGGCAATTCGGAGTTTTATGAGATGTGCTGTATTCACATTAGTTAGCAACTGAAAAGAAAATCTAAAGGTATAGATAGATAGATACAAAATGTTTTAAATGACTCTCTTTCATATTAGTTGGACATACACAGTCACTAAAGTAAAAGTACCTTGATTAATATGAAACAAAACAAACCGGCTAGTTATTTATCTCTCTATTTATCTATAAAAATTCTGGAGTTTTTAGTTACGATTATATAGGGTAGGTAGGAAGAGCCTGTGGGTCATCTTGACTCAGTGTTATGCTTAGAATTTTGCAAAACTAATCCCAGCTATGATGATACTAGTTCGTCATCAACCCTTTTTCAACTGAAAAAAAGTAGGACGCCTCATGGACTGCGTCTACCTGAGCGCGGTACTAAGGAAAAACGGACGCAGAACATGAGAAATTGGCTGCGGCAAGGTATCACCTCGTCATGCCCTTTGCTACGAAAAAGAATGTCTCGACTATACGAATCCAGGTTTATTAACGAAAGTGCCTGTAAACCGAAGTTCTTCAATCACCATGATGACTCTTCGGATCGAGAATCTTAGCCTTGACTCTACTTGGTTAGTACACAAAACGATCAGACCAACTTGTGTTTGTACAATTACAATTTCATCTCCTCTTGCACCGAACGACTTGAACACAGTCTACTCAGACTGTGATTCGTGATCAACTCCGCCCAAATCGTCTGGCTCGTCTTGGCTCTCGCCATCAGAGCCGAAAGTTTAATCTTCAGCCGGTCTCCTAAATACTCGATGCTACGGAGATGAAAATTTCCTGTACCGCCTCTATTCCTGCCCGAATCGATCATGGACCCGCCTGCACACTAAAATGATTGGCTTTCCATCCACTTGCCTCTGGTCACTAGGACATTAACTTGTGTCTCTTGTCTCCAGGTGCTGTATCTGCGCTGCAACAACCCTACAACCCTCACACTCCCGCGCCATTCATTGGCATCACAGGAATACTGACAGGTTTGGCCAAATCTGGTTTTCGCCTGTGTCGCCCACCTATTGCGTGTGCTGCAAATCGCAGATCAGGAATGTTGACTTATTTTCCTCAACTGAATGTCTGATAATTATCTTGTTTGTGGATCCAAGCCTGGTGGCAACGAATCTCACCCGTAGTCCCATAAGTCTGTCCTAGGGTTGATCTCTTAATATGAAAAAGGAAGCATCACAACCCTCAGACATGGAATAGCTTGGTGCTTTGAAGATTCTAAGCTCGTGTGACAACTAGTTGATGGTGTCAGGGGTGAAATCACCCTACGTGTCTGGGCGAATGCTTGCTGAGAGAAGGAAGTTCATCCACGGGTTTAAGCGGTCTGGCCTAAATCCGGCAACTTATTATGAGAATGATTAAAATAATGACCGGTGGTTGGCGATAGAAGCTTCCATCCACAAGAATACAGCACAACATACCGCATGACACCACAAAACAGCCCAACAGCTGCTACAACTGAATCTTGAGAAGTCGAAAAAGAGAGGAATCTTTATGATCATTTGCCCGATCTAGGCCAGACCGTTTAAACCGGTGGATGAAATTTCTTGTCTCAGCACACATTCGCCCAGACACGCAAGGTGATTTCTTCACTGCCACCATACACTAGTTGCCACACGAGTTTAGAATCTTCAAAGCATCAAGCTATCCCATGTCTGAGGGTTGCGATGCTTCCTTTTTCATATTCAAAGATCGTTCATAGGACACACTTATGGGACTACGGGTTAGATTCGTTGCCACCAGGCTTGGGTCCACAAACAAGATAAATATCAGACATTCAGTTGATGAAAATAAGTCAACATTCCTGATGTGCGATTGGCAGCACACGCAATGGGTGGGCGACACGGGCGAAAACCAGATTTGGCCAAACCTATCGGTATTTCTGTGATGCCAATAAATGGCGCGGGAGCGTGAGGGTTGTAGGGTTGTTGCAGCGCAGATACAGCATCTGGAGACAAGAGACACAAGCTAATGTCCTAGTGACCAGAGGCAAGTGGATGGAAAGCCAATCATTTTAGTGTGCAGGCGGGTCCATGATCGATTCGGGCAGGAATAGAGGCGGTACAGGAAATTTTCATCTCCGTAGCATCGAGTATTTAGGAGACCGGCTGAAGATAAAACTTTTGGCTCGGATGGCGAGAGCCAAGACGAGCCAGACGATTGGGGCGGAGTTGAAAACGAATCACGGTCCGAGTCGACTGTGTTCAAGTCGTTCGGTGCAAGGGGAGATGAAGTTGTAATTGTACAAATAAAAGTTGGTAAAATAGTTTTGTGTACTGACCAAGTGACTATTCGGAAACTAGCAGAGCCAAGTCTAACCTGCTCGATCCGAAGAGTCATCATGGTGATTGAAAAACTTCGGTTTACAGGCATTTTCTTAAATAAACCTGAATTCATATATTAAAGACAATAAACGAAGTGAGTAGATACCAAAAATAGCGGTCACTTTAAGAGACCTATGGTGACTAAAGATCTCCCAAAAACTCTTTTTCATTAAAGCTAAGAAGAAGCGGTATCTGAATACACCTCTTGTATTAGATCTACTAGTAGTCTCGAAAGCCTACCTATAAAATAAAATATAGTCTTAATGAAGGACATACATATACTGTTAGGAGGACCTTCATTTCATATACAGATAGTTTTTATAGATACCAAAATGTAAGTGTAGACATCGATACTACTAGTAGAAACTATTTGAGTAACGAAACCTACTTTAGTTGAATATATATGTTGTTTCGTCTAGTGTAATTGTAAAGTACAAGTATGTCGCCTCCACGGTCCCAGAATGCATGTGATATAAGGAAGGCCTGGGTTGTCTTGGCAGTTACATATGCCCTGTGATTCACTGACGCCTGCGGCGGTGTGGCGCAATGGTAACAGGTCAGAGGTAAGCACTGTATTGACCGGGTTACATTCACGCGGGAAGTGCTGATGCGAATCATTTTGGATGATAATACCTTTTGGGAGGCATTGTGGGCAAATTTAGCTATTAGCCCTTCATCATTTTATGTAACCCAGAGAGGATAGAGTTCCTGTACGACTAAATGTTCTCGACTATAATAAAGGTGGTAGCCATGATAATACAGAAAAGAAGTCTAAAAAGAAGTCAGATAAGTTAAGTCAACACGAAAAAATTTAGAAGTGATCTGACCTCGTTTTCATAACTTGTTCGTGTTTTCAGGACGACATGATTGCCCAAGTTCTTCTGTTATAGTAGTTATGATTATTCCTAGAATTGGACCATAGACTTGGTAGATCATCATAACTGCTATAGCAGAAGGCATCGGACAAAGTTCGCCTTGACAACACGAACAAGTTACGAAAATGATATCATACAATTTATATAAATCTGAAGGAGACTGCGTTCAAAATTAAAACCCATCCAATAGAGTTTAAGCCATACAGATGGTGTTAATGAGATGCCACGTTCGGGCCAGTTTGTGTCCTAAAATCTAGGCCACAATGAGGGCTCCTCCCCAGGCGTCGGAGTTTTACTTTAACAATACCAAAAGTTTCCTTTACGCCCCAGAAAATGGGGGATCCGGCATAGTACAAGCATCAGGCCAGTAGCTGGACTCTGAAGGGCGCCAAGGGGATAGGCAATTTCTGCAAGACGCGTGCAGAAAGATTTCTGTGCGGCAAAACACCTGAATAAAGTACATTTTCCCACATGCCCCTTTTGGAAAACTACACTATGGAGAAAATACTGAGTGTGAAGGTAGCCTTGACAATCACGTGATCATAGTCTTCATGATGCCTGCCTTCTCTGTGTTGTTATTTTCTTCCGAAGGCTTGGTGCAACCTAGAATTGGACTTAAGATAGCGAAAAAAGGGAAGATCGTAACACAGGTCTCGTCTCCTACAATCGACTGTGTTTGTAGCGTATGCTAAATCAAAGGCCCAAAGACGAAGACGACGCGAATTACGGACTGCAATTGGCTCAAAAAGCTGTACGCTCCGGCCCATCTAAGACAGACACAGAAGAAGCCCGGCACAGAAGAAGTCCGGATCTGAAGAACATAAGGCTGTGTAGCCTGGGCGACAATCCGGTGTAAAGATGTCTGGGGAAGCCGAAAGATGGGCCAATCAGGTAGTCGATAAGCTAAGAGAGTGTGAATCAATACCGGTGCTCTTCCGGCCGGGCAGACGAGCCAATAGATTGGTTGCACTGGGCAAACACAAAAAGCGTCTGATGGTATCGCAATTGTGGGCAAAAATGGAGGGACGATATGGAAGACAACCGATCCATCGAAAATAAAACGCGAAAGGATAGGGAAAATACGAGCAAAAGAGCCTAACATCAGCTAGACAAGTAGGCCCCATTCAGAGACTATCGAGAAGAGGCAGAAGAGACTAAGTGAAGCCCACTTGTGGAACTATGTGGAGGCGAAGGTCTTTTCAGCAAATATTTGTCTTTTTCCCTTGTCTCAAACCAGAGAATTAAGTCAATTTAACGACAGACGTTCATCAACAGATCTCGGCTATCTAAGCCAGAAGTCTGCGGCACTTAAGGGTACCTAGCAAACAGGGACACATTAATGGTTGCACATTCGAATTGGTGAAAGGGGACTGTACGTAAGGCTCGGTAGAATTCTATATGTGTATTTACTCTATTTAGTTCAAGGTGATAAGGAAACTGGTAGCTGAATTTTCCCACAATTATGTGAGTAGACCTTATGCTTCCATTGAATTTCACATAGCCTTGCTTCCTAAAATGTATTCGAATCCATGATGGACTGTAGGTTCCACCTTGCACAGGTCTTATCAACACACCTAGCGGGACTCGAACTATGTCAGTACAGGGTATAATCTCGACACGTTAACAATTACGCCACATTGCCACGAGCGCCCTTGGGTGACAGGACAGATGTGAATTTCAAGGATTGCCAGGCATTTTTCCATATCACATTCTATGGTTGGATTGTCGATGAAGCAAAGTTTTACTTGCTATAGCAATCTACTGTATTACTTATGTTTTGTTTTATAAACAAATTTTCGGGACTACCTACTTATGAAACGACAAATAAGTAATGTAGTCAATAGCTATGACAAATATAACTTTGTTTCATCGACGATCCTACTACAGAATGTGATATTGAAAAATGCCTGGCCTTCCTTGAAATTCACATTTGCCCTGTGACACAATGGCACTATATTCAGTGTGGCGTAGAGGTTAACGTGTCAAGATTATACGTTGCACTGCCATAGATTGAGTCCAGCTGGGCTGCTGATGAGACTTGGGCGGGGTTGAAACTGCAGTCTACTACTGCCTAAATGAGAATTCTTTTTAACAAGCAAGGCTTATTCATATCATTATGGGAAAATTTAGCAACCATTCCTTCATCACCTTAAATGAAGTAGGAATAATATATTTTATATCCTAAGGTCTACTCATCTCATTGTAGGAAAACTTGACAATCATTCCCTAAATCATTTTGTTAATTAATATTAAAATTCCAACATCTTAACCAACATACAAGACTTAATCTGCCTCATCTGCCCAGATCTACTAATATTGCATTCAACTGTAGTAACCCCAGGTCACATGTATTTTTTTGGCTGTATAGGTGCGCATATGCTGTTACCAAGCCTAATACCATACATAATTTTAACTTTTCCTCCAAAACGAATCTATTTCGCCCAAAAAATCCAAAATGTCTGGAGTGGTCGGTAATATGAGGGTAGGTAAAAAATAAATTTATGCCGTACTGCGCGATTCATACAAAAAATATATGAATGATTAAGACAAGGAAAGAACTATCACTATTTTGAATGAAATTATAATTCCATAAATCTACTCTGTTCTTCGTAGTCTCT